GCCTCTGACGCAGCGTCCCCCGGACAGCCAAGAAGCTTCTGACTCCGGCCGCGGAAGCCAACGCTCTCCAATTAACTGGCTGTTTCATTTCTTTCTTACGCGTCTTGCTTCGCTCAGGTATTACTCGTTCACTTTATATATGCAGACGAAGCGCTGTGATCTGTTTACATAAGGTCACCGCCGACTGAATTATTCACCTGTCTACAGTAATTACAAATCAAGTAGATTTGATATAGATGGCTGTGAACCGGATACACAGTGAACCCGCACAGTCCTACGTAGTGCCAGCCGGTTTTTAGAACATGGTCACTGCTTAATAACTTGCCAAGAGAAAAATTTAAAAAAAAATTCTGTGACTTTTGTGAATGACACGGATTGTTGTTACTATATTATTTAGTACATTACCTTAATCATGAAGAAGGGGCGAGACACGTAAGTCACTGTCAGAGAGATGCATTTCGTCAGCTGTGTCGGTATCACTTGTTCTTTCAGACTCACCTGTCTGCGTGGAACTGGAATTTCCTGATGTACTAGATTCACTCTCGGAATCGTCACTATTTATTCCCACGTTTATTGTTACAGTTTCTATAGCTTCTTCCATTAAACCGTCCCGATGCCAGTACTCTTCCATTATTTCTATCATTTTGTCACAAGCTTTTTTCCAGTCTTGTTGGGTAATGCTGCCTATTGCTGATTTAGTTAACTGTATAAGAACTGGAAGAGAAATGCTGCTAACATTTTTTTGAGGCAATTTTTTTTTCATTGTGTTCCAAATCATTTCTATTGGATTCAGGTCACAATGATAGGGAGGTAGGCGTAAAACTGTGAAACCATGCTTTTTTAGTAAACTGTCTACAGTATAAACTGGTTCGGGTTTGTGAATTCTTACTAATTTTAGACTAATTCTAACTAAGTTCAGCCCTTCGTAAATCAGGATTGAAATTAATTTTGTGAGACTGTAGCCAGGATTGTATGTCTGATTTGCGGGATGAAGAGTTTGGAACTTTATTCTCTAGAACAGAGTGATAAGATGCGTTATCCAAAACGACAATACTTCCATCTAGAAAGTTTGGAATCAAACTCTCTTTTAGCCATTTATTACAATTGTCACTATTCATTTCGTGATGATGGTCCCCAGAAGCTGATTTCGAGTTATTAATTAATTCAGCCTTCTCGATAAATCTCGTCTCCCCACCTGCATGAACTACTATTCCCTTTTGACCAGCGCTTTCATTCTTTATCACCCCAGGTACTTCATTGTGTTGCCAGCACTTATTAACTGTGTAGTGGGTGTGCACCCAAGTTTCATCTGTGTAAATCACAGTCCTCCGAGCACCTTTGTCATTCTCTCCGAGTGTTCTGAGAAACGTCGCATGACGTTCAACAATGTCTCCCCTCTTCACTTACACTGATCTTCTATTTTTGCATTTAGAAATTTGAAATCAATTTCCTTTAATATTCTCCAGAATGTTGTTCTTTTCCGAGAGAATTTAATGTCCGGGTCTTCCTTAACGGAACTGTAAAGCTTTCGAAGAGTCGGAATTTCCCGCTTAACCTCATAATATTCCAAAAACTTCCTTTTCACTAAACACTTCGAGAAATGATCTAAAAATACTTGTTTCTTTCTCAGTTTCTTTTTCCTTGGGCTCAAAACTTTTTGACCTCTCTGTTCTGCTTTATGTACATCGTTTATTACATTGTACACTGTTCTTAAACTCTTTCCTACTAATGCCGCTGCTCTGTCCATAGGTTTTCTTAATGGTATTAATAATCCCCTATTCTTTTCTTCGCGACAATAGTTCACTACATTACTGATAATTATTTTACTACCAGAACGCACTTTCTTATATCGAAGGAGATTTGATTTTTCTGCGGACATCCCAAAACAAAGTAAAAAAAATCGCTCACTTTAACAGCTGGCATGAGTCGTTTCGGCTCCACTCGTAGATATTCGTGTGTACGCTCGGGTCCCTGGCTTTCAAAACAACATTAGTTCCTAATTCTGCCGTGTGCAAATTCAAAGTGAACGCGTAATACCTGCGTTTGCACGATGAATCCTGTGATCTGCGAGGTGAGCATCCCCGAGAGGTTGGTGATGGTGTTGCTGAGACCTTCGAGGACACTCGCGTGGAGAGGAGCCATGTCCAGAATGTTGACGCTGGAACGAACGATTAAGTACATTTTAGACTCCGTCCAAATAAATTGTGCCGCAAACGCATAAGTAACGGCGCAATGTATTAACCGTTCGACGTTTTAATCCAGTATATTTGCATTTTCTATTCAAACAATTATAAAACATATGGAAAATATTTTGGATGCTAAACAATTCTCCTTTATAATCTAAAAGATATTAGTGCTATTGTATTTAGTTGCGAAATAGGGGATAAATGGGGTAAATAAACTTATGAACTGTAACGATTCATGCCGTATTTTCTCAAGTTTTCAAAGAAACCAATAGATCTGCAGAAAGGGTCAGACCGACTCAGGTTACGAGTCGGTTCCGCTAGCTCCAATAATTGTGATGATAATTTTCTCAAATAGAAATTAATACTGGGTCATTATCATTTAACAAAATGTCAACGTTCATTACGAATATTAATGTTGAATATAGTGTTTAAGTTGAATTTCGTACTGCATTGGAGTTTCATCGTCCTGAAACAATTAACATATAGGTATTACTTTCACCATCATTCTTCATTTATGATCCGAGAATTGTAAAAAGCTTTAAATACGTATGAATGTTTCATTTCGTGATCCTAACTGTTGAGTTTCTAATTCTAGTAATATATGAGTAATGATAACATTTAAGTCTCCTAAGAAACAGGATATTGTTGATTTTTTTTCTTGATATTTTCTTAGGCTTGCATAACAGAAAAACATACAAATTGATAATAGATTAATAGCATGATCAACTATCTTAAGAACTTGATAATAATCCAATTTTATTTCAAAACTGTTCTTAGAACCTAGAGAAGTGTTAGTCTGCATACAGATATAAAAAGTACAATTCACGTAATGTGCATAGACTTCATTGAAGTGTAAGAGTAGATAATTATTAATCACATAAATATTCACCCTTCAGTTGCTATACCCAAGTTCGTACCGTCTTTTGATTCCGTTGTTTATGGTGTGAATAGGGGTGTTTCAAAAGTATTTCCTCTTCATTATATTTACCTGCTTGCTGTGTAGACGAAAGATGTAAATGCTGTTCCAAAGGAGATGCACGCAACGATGGATGATGGATCCGTCAGATATGTGCTGAGCAGCAGACACAAAACCAACATCATGAAGCCTCCGCACACGTACAACTTCCGCACCTGACACAAAAAAGGAGCATCTTGAAATCAGCTAGTGCCGGCTGAGTCAACTCACTGTAGGCTTTAAATCAACTACTAGTTGTTTCATTAATTATGCGAAATGATTATAAAAGAAATGACATATTGTATTTAAATTCAATTATTATTATTATTATTATTATTATTATTATTATTATTATTATTTATTTTATTATTATTATATTATTATTATTATATTATTATTATTTTACCAAGTGATAATTTTCGTAGATACATAAAATTACAAATTTTAAAAATTGTTCTTTTTACTTACTCTT